CTCTCTCTCTCTCTCTATATATATATATATATATATATATATATATACAAAAAATATGTGTGTATATAATACGTTACACATTACAAACTGCTCTAAAACCGCCAGCCTGCAGAATGCGCAACGGCACCATGTTTTGATTTAACCGATTACATTTCATACTTCTATTTAATTTATATTTATTTAAATAATTGCCTTTTGAAGTTTTAATAATCACACTAAACCATATTGCGATTCCTATTTTTCCATCCCTAAATTTAAGACATTTTTTTTTTTTATGAACACTTTTCTTATAGTATTTAAGATATTTAAAGGGATACTTCACCCAAAAATGAATATTTTGTCATCACTTGCCCTTTTGATGTGCCAAACTTGTATGAATTTCTTTCTTCTGTTGAACATAAAAGAAGATATTTTGAATAATATGGGTAACCAAACAGTTTCTGGTAGCCACTGACCTCCACTGTATGGGGAAAAAAAATACTATGGAAATCAATGGCTACCAGCAACTGTTTGGTTACCAACATTTTTCAAAATATCTTTTGTTTAACAGATGAAAGAAATGCATACAGTCTGACAGAATTGACATTTTTGGGTGCACTATCCCTATACTACAGTAGTCAATATTTGAAGTGGATCAAAAAAGTTCTAAGTTGTCCTAAGACAAGAACAGGTATTGTTTTGGTTTTAGGACAACTTTGATGAAAGGTTTTGATCCACTTCAAATGTTGACTACTGTATATAGTCTACATATAGTATTAGGGATTTTTAGAACCTTTGGGTTTTTTTTAGAACCTTAAACTTATAGTATAAACTAAATGTAAGATTTTTAAGGACAATCAGGGACCCTGTAAGAGGATGAATGAGATTGTGTTTGAGAAGGTCTGGAGACTCACCAGGCGGCCTTTCTCACTGTCAGGGAGGTAGCAGTGTCTTGGAAATCCACGGGCTGTGAAGGGCTTCCCGGGGTTGGGATGCTCTGGACCCTAAAACAATCATAGAAAGAGCCGTTTAGACCTACATTATAGTTATATAATGTATGCATGCCGTTATATAACACTGCAGCAGCTCAACATATGATGTAGGTGGCACAAATGCCAATGTGAATGAATGCTCTGGGAAGAGCAGTGGTTTTAAACAAGCTCTAAATTAAGAGTCTTACCTGAATGCCAGGGGGTATGTTGTAGATAATCCGGATGGTTCTGCAGTCAGGGTGTCCAGGAAGGGAGTGAGGAATGACGTGGTATTCCATCTTTCCTGGTGGCTGGTTGCCGGTTTTAACACCGTAGATGGTCTTGCAGGTGGGACACTGAAGGCTGCCGTCTTTGTTGCCGTTGTTGTACATGGCCACCAGGCACTGCAGGTGGTACTGATGCCCACACTGAGACAGACGACCCACTAACTCTGCTCGAGAAATGCCACCTACACCTGGGCCTTTATAACCAGATGGGCCACAGAGAGACTCCATACAGATAGTACAATCCTAAAAAAAATTCAAATTAATAGAGAAAAAGAGAGAAACCAAAAAAAAAAAAAAAAAGAATTGAATCAAGTTTAATGAAAGGGGTCATATGATGTGATTTCAAGTTTTCCTTTCTCTTTGAAGTGTTTCTTTAAAAAAGCATCATATGACCCCTTTAATCTAATGAAAGATAATTAAAATACTTACTTTAATAAAAAAGTATTATATTTTAATTAAAATGATTTAAATAATTAAAAATAATTTTAAAAATGAAAATATGAATCATGTATGTTTACCTCCTCAGGTGGGTTGCGGACTTTCTGGAGATATCTTCTAACAACTTCTTCTGAAGTTCTACCTGCTCAAATGGAAGAAAAAGTTATTTCAAAAAAGTTAATCAAATAAGGATTTAGAGAAATAATCTGTCACAAACATGTGACATGATATATAAAATATAAATATTTTATTTATTTTCTATATATTGTTTATACATACACTACTGGTCTAAAGTTTGGAATAAAGATTTTTTAAATGTTTTTGAAAGACATCTCTTATGCTTACTAAAGCCCCGTTCACACCAAGAACGATAACTATAAAGATAAAGATAGACTGAACTTATTTGATTAAAAATACAGTAAAAACAGTAATAGTGTGAAATCTAATTTCATTTCTGTGATATTTTTATTATTTATTAATAATATTAAATAATAATAATGAAATAATTATTAA